AAAAGCTTGCACACACAAGCAAAGCAAAAAGAAGAATTAATTCCCTGCTTCTCATTGGGAGGCAGACATTTGGCCACTTCCTGGAAAGCAGGGCCTCAGCATGCCTAATGGTTATGTGGGAAAAATCATAGAATCATTTAGGTGGGAAAAGACCTTTAAGATCATCAGGTCCAACCATTAACTTAGGACTACCAAGTCCACCACTAAACCATGCCCTAAGCACCACGTCTAGCCGTCTTTTAAATACCTCTAGGCATGGGGACTCGACCACTTCCCTGGGCAGCCTGTTCCAATGCTTGACAACCCTCTTAGTGAAGAAATTTTTCCTTGTCCAACCTAATCCTGCCTGGTGCAACATGAGGCCATCTCCTCTTGTTCTATTGCTTGTTACTTGGGAGAAGAGACCAATACCCATCTGGCTACAGCCTCCTGTCAGGCAGTTGTAGAGGGCGATAAGGTCTCTTTAAATAGCATTCTGTTCTCCAACACTATGACCACTTCCTGGCCTCCCAGGCTGATGTCACCTGCAGACTTGATGTGCATGCATTCCATCCTGGCTTTAAGGTCACTGATGAGGATGTTAAACTGAATTAGTCCAGTATCATCTCTTGAAGATTGCCTTTTCTAACTGGCTTCCAGCTAGATTTTAAACTGTTGGCCACAAGCCTTTAAGTCTGGCTGTCTAGGCGGATTTTCAGACATGTTGAAGTTGATATTTATCCAATTTGGTACAAGGATGCTATGGAAGCTGGTATTGGAAGCCTTATTAGAGTCAAAGTAAATGACATCCATTGGTGTCCTTCATCCCCAAAACCAACCTCACAGAAAGTTATTATTAGGCGCAGTTTGCACTTTGTAAATCCATGCTGGCAATTCCCAGTCACCTTCTTTTCATTCATGTGCCTGGAAATGACTTCCAGGAGTATTTGCTGTATAGTTAGTCTGAGGATCAAGGTGAGATCAAGATCTCCTAATGCCTCAGATTCCCCTTCTTGCTCTATTTTGAAGATGAATAAATACAGCCTTTATCAGTGGTTTCATGTGGTCACAGTGACCTGTAAAGAATAGAGTTTTCTTTGGTTGTATTGGAGTTGGACAGCTGGTGATCTGTTTGCACTAGAAATGCCTGTAGACTGTGTGAAGATTATTCTCACTTTTGCAAAGCCATATTGAGAAAGAGGAGGTAGAATTCAGCACAATTCACAGACAAACTGTGAGCATGCTGTCTAAAGGGATTAGATCATAGTTCTAAGAGTTCCATGATTTTTTCAGAGAATGAAGCAGACGAAAGAAAGTGGAGGTAAAGTAAACTAAGATTGTTGAGACAGCAAAAAATGCATTTTTTCCCCTGTCTGCTGACAGACAAACTAATGATTTTTATAAGCTTTGTATTTTAATATAGCATGCTTTTTAAAAAAAAAAAAAAATGTTGAGCATTGAGAGTGGTGTCAGCATGTCTGGCAAACCTCATGCAATCTGTTCCAACAAAAAGTAGTCTGACTCTGTTGGTTTATTCTTGCAAGGGCCAAAAGATGGTTGCAAGGAGCAGAACCATGAAGAGTTTGAAGATGTTCATTTGCAACACTGAAGGCCATTAATACACTGTGAAGAACTTACAAAGCAGGTTTTTGGTTAGGTGTTGATTGAAAAGGCAGTTAGAGGAATTGAGCTTCAGACCCCTTTGAAGTTGAACAACTGATCATCTGTTTGCATCAGAAACAGCAGCAGACTGTGTAAAGATTATGCTCACCTCTGTAAAAAGCAAAGACTTTTTAGAGCGGAATGATTTTTTTCTTAAAATGTCTTGATTTTGAATCTTTTAGCTTCAGACACATTTTGTAATACAAAATGAATTTGTAACAAATGTACTTTTAACTATTGAAGGTTTTTATATTGGTTAGGTATTTGATGTGTAGAAACTAAATGAATTTTCAAAGATTAATAAAAGTCTAATGAATTTTCACACATTTATTTTTCAGGAGCTGGTGAATCGGGGAAAAGCACAATTGTCAAACAAATGAAGTAAGTATGGTGAGAAACTATGATAGAGAAATATTTTTTTTATTCAAATAGAGAATTATTTTTTTTTTCTTCCATAGGATTATCCATGAAGCCGGTTATTCAGAAGAAGAATGTAAACAGTACAAAGCTGTTGTCTATAGTAACACCATCCAGTCCATTATTGCTATCATTAGAGCAATGGGGAGGTTGAAGATAGACTTTGGTGATCCAACCAGGGCTGTAAGTATTGGAGAGCACACACAGATATATGGCTAAAATACCCATTCATTTTCAATTTTCGTCCATTACTATTTCCTGAAAAAATCTCTTGATATCGAAAAATCTTCTTTGTAGAATACAAAGTTTGATTGAAAACTAAATGCCACTGGTCTTTATATGGCAAGGTGACTTACAGAGCAATCAGCACTGGGTTGATGCACAACAGCTATTTGGTTTAGATACAATTCTCCAAGTTCTATCTAAATTTGGAGGACTACACAGTCTCAGGAAGTTTTTGAAAAACATTAAGCTATGCAATCATGTCTCTTTATTTGTATGGACTTGTGAGCTGTTACGTTCTGCAAGTCATTTAAATTAGACATCTTCACATTCCTTAAAAAAACACAGCTTAAATAGGTAGGCATCTAGCTACTGCCTGCACTTCTCTGTTAGGTCGTAGGCACAGTAAAACACTTCCAGCCTCTGAGCTTGATCCTGTTTCATACTGTTTCCCGGTGTGGAGGACTTTATTTTACTCAAAGCGGAGACATGGGCATAGCCCTGCTGCTGGTATCCCATGTTTTCACAATACCATATGGATTAAGGATTTTTCACAAGAAATAGGAGACCTTTTTCTAAGGTCTATTTAATCTAATGTCCTGCATACAAACCTCTGATGGGTCTATTTGCCATTCCATCTATTGAAGCTGGTCTGCAGAATTGATGCTTTTGGTTTACCGTTTCTCCAGTCCTAACCCTATACCCTAGCCTGTGGTGATCCTGATTACACCCAAGTCTGGTCAGGAGATTAAATGATCTGAATCTTTCTGTAAAATGCTTAGCTTAAGTGGTTTTGCTTGTCCTCTGTTTACAGGAATACACTTTGTGTGGCAGTGCTGAAATTGATCACCAAATTTGTTAGTCTGAATAGCACCAAAACTTAGTTTGGGATGTCTGCTTTTATTTTATTTCCATAGAAATCAATGTAAAAATATGGAATGATCACCAGTACAGTTTTTGAAGCAGGAACTAGCCACGTTGTGGCTGTCTTCAGGAAAGATGGAGGAAGTTTTTTTTGCTGTTCATGCATTGAAATAAGTATGTAAGGTACTCAGAGGATTATTTTGTTATAATTCTTTCCATCATCTTAAGGTTGATTTATAGTTTGGGGGGAGAGGAGGGTCTCTGAAAATGAGGAACAGTATATAAAGTCTTCATTCATGACAAAGTCTTGTGACCAAGATCTTACTGTTTGCTTAAAAAGCACTTTATCAGTACTAGAGAGTATATTTTCAGTGACCTTGTAAAATGCATTATCTATGGTTGTCATAAGGAAGACAAATGTTCATAAGATTATGTAAAGTGGGTCATAAAGTTGTATCTGAAGTCTCAGTCTGATTGGCAGTCATAAATTACTAGTTAATTTTCATTTTGCTCTTTGATAGTTGTTATATTTTTGTAAATATGTTGATTCTACCTGAAACCTCTTCAGTTATAAACATGACTAGTAAAAGGTTTGTTGTCATTGGCTCTCACGTTTGCTTATCTCTTTTGCTGTTATCTTCCCTTAAGACCAAAGTTTTCCAGGGCAGCAACAGTATGTTATCGCATGGTAGTTCAGTATTTGTGCAATGGAGTCCTCTCTGGAGTCTGGCAGTTAATGTTGGAAAGAGGCAGATGGTAGACTCATGTTGCTAAATACATAGTAAGAGAAAACGGAGGAGGAGTAAATTTAGGCGTTAGCAGATAAAATGACTAACAAGATTTTGAGGGCTATTTTATATATGATATAAATTTGAAGTAATCCAAGTTTCTTGACTTCAGAGAGCTATATAAACGATGAGTCAAACTTTTGTCAGGGAAAATCTTAAAATAGCTGTCCATCCCTTTGCACTTAGGCGGCTCTTTGTGGTCCAAATTCTTTCTTGAGCAATACTTGTATGGAACGTCAGTACTAGATTTTTGCCAATTGTAAAGCCAAAAATGGAAGAAGGAATTCAGAGCTTGTGTTATACATCAGTCTCACTTTAAAAAAAAATGTATGGTTACTCCTCAATTATTATAGTATATTCTTTGTAATTTTACTCTATTTCATTGTAATTTTGTCGGGTTTTTTTCTGGGGGAAAAAAAAGCTCTAAATTGTAACGCTTGCTGAAAACTGTTACATTCAGACTCTTTTCCTTACACTTCTGAGGGGTTTACTCCAAATGGGATGTTTGTTTGGAAAATCATATACTCTTATTTCTGTCATAAGACTAATGGTAAAGCAGCGAGTTGAATGTTTTCTTTTTTAAAGCTATTGAATCAAGGGAGCACGGATCACACCAGCAGCATCAGTAATGGGCAGTCTCAAGACTGGTGTATCTCCCTTTGTCCTACAGGATATTTCAGGACTGAAGTAGTAACTATGTTTTGAGAGACAATTAGTGAATATGCTTTAAAGGACTATGGACCACTTTCTGAATGGAAGATTTTCTGTAATTAGCTAGGGAGATGGTTAAATTAGTTTCTTTACGTTATCTTATTTATGAAATCTGGTATAAAAATAGTAACACCTAGAGAGGAAGCTGCCCCATTCCAATATAATTAAAGGAAAGTATCCGGCATTGGTTAGTAATGAAAATAGGACTTGGTCATTGCATACTACCTCACTTGTGGCATCTGTAGCACTTGCCATCCTTAGAAAAGGGAGTATGGGGGTAACAGAGACCACTCTTTATTTTAATGTTTGGGCTTTTAAAAAGCTTTTAAAAACCTGCCCTTTCCCTTCCCCCTCCCCTCTCCCTGCCCCATTTTACAGCATGTAGAGGTTAGAGCTATTTGAAACAGAGTAAATTTTGTATGTTTGAAAGTCAGACAGACCGTGTTAGGTATAAAATGGTGTCATCATTCATGACAGAATTGACTGTTTCTAAGCTGTTTCCCTCATGTGTCTTAATATATTGGCTCCTCTTCAAGATCTGCTGCTTCTATAACTTGTAGGTCCTTTTGTATCTACGAACAGTATTCAAGACCAGAATTGTCATTCAGGTTTATTTTATGCAGGCATATTGCACAAACTACAGTCCACGAGATTGGACTACCCAACCCTTTGATCTTTACTGCTCTGTTTTTTTATGTAATTATTAGTGCACTCCATTGAATTTTTATTAGTTGTCTACAATTTGTCCTGTACATGCACAGTAATCAGTATTCTGTTAATTTGTTTGACAAATGCTCATTTTTAGATTTTTAACTACTCTAGCTTTCAAAAGACTTTTTGAACTACATCAGATACCTGTTGTTCCTATGTATAACTACATACGTATACATATAAATATATATAAAACTCTTCAAGTTTGCCTTGAATTGACTGAACTGCAAGCTTCTTGTTTTCAAGCTGTGAATATCAGTATTACTTAATCTATCTGTAAACAGTTTCCCTGTTAGCTGTCATAATCTTTGATTATTTAAGTCTATAGGAGATAATACCTTTAGAACAATCACTGCATTCTGTGCTTATCCTGAAAATGTGGGGGGTTTTCATAGCTTATTGTTTGAACAGCAAAGTCGACAGAACTGGATTTTTCTACAGATTTGCATCTGTATCTTCACTTACTGTTTTGTGAGAATAACCTTCTGTATTGCTTTTTTAAATCCTTCTCTTTCTTGAAATACTTTCAGTTCCCAGCTGATGTGCCCAAGTCTCTCTTTTCTCCTTCCTGCTTTCCAGTATCATCTGTTCTCTTTCTTTTAATTATTGGACAAACAGTACATGCTGTGGTTAGTAGTTACAAGCCACAAGTATGCTGATTTTTCTGGCCAACATACCTTGGCATTAGATCACACACAGCTAATAACCAAGGTCAAGTAGCTACCCACAGGAGAGTACTAACGTGGGTTTCTTTCCTCTACCCAGCTCTACCTTCTTTTTCCAATGCCTTACAGGTCTAACATTTTTAAAGTATCTTTCCTCAGTCGTAATTGAATGAAGGTAGCCAACTGGCCAAAATCTGTTAAAGGAGACTGGTGAATTGACATTCTGTATTCCTTTAGCCTCGCTCTCAATGGCAATCATTATATATAGTCTTAAAATCCAGAATTTGCTCTCTTAAAAATACTGATGTTTGCTTGATATCACATTAACCAACAAAACTTGGTCTCTATAGAATAATGAAGGTAATGGATATTTGTAACTGATTTATCCGGAAAGGTATTAAGTATTTTTCTATTTCCTGATGCATGATTTAGGAAGAAATGATCATTTGTCACTTTCAGAGAAAGTTGGTTTTTGAAGCTTAAGTGATTAATGTGTTTTCTTCAGTCAATCAATGTACATCTGCATATCTGAAGGTTCTAGTATACAGTGTAACCATTCTATTCAGTTTGTGGTATTTGATAAGCAAATAAGGTTAACTTTAGATTGAGCACAAAATATGTCACTACTACTGTTTATAGAAGCTTAGTTCAAGTTATAAAGGGATCAGAAGAGGCTTTATCAGCTACTGAGAAATTTAGTTTACTAATCATCTTCTGTTGTTGAAAAAAGTGGGAATTAATATCCTATGCAGAACACTAAACCCAATTGTTTTCCTTCACATTGTTTTGTTTGATTACATTCACTTTTACCAGGTTAAGAAAGTAACTCATTTGCTGAATGGGTGATAATACTGCTGTTGTATGTCTCAATGTTTGTCTCTCCACATTCTGTTTACATCCTAAAGGATGATGCTCGTCAACTCTTTGTGTTAGCTGGAGCAGCAGAAGAAGGATTTATGACTGCAGAGCTTGCTGGAGTTATCAAGAGACTGTGGAAAGACAGTGGAGTTCAAGCTTGTTTCAACAGATCTAGAGAATACCAGCTTAATGACTCTGCTGCCTAGTAAGTACTGTGTGACAAACAAGATTCTCTTTGTTTTGTTAGTAGTAACTAAAGGAATATAAGGGAAGTCTCATCTTTTGAGGAATTCTGCTCCCATGTAGATGGAAAAAAATTAGAAGTATCTGGACAAAGATATTGTCTACTTGGGTCAAAATGCTCCAGTAAGGCTTCAAGGTTGGAAAGGAAGAGGTGTAGTATAATTATGAATTTGAGTCATATTCTGAGCAGTTGTTTCATCCTCTTGAGGAAGACAAAAATTGCTTTAAGGTGCTTTAATAGCATTTTTATGACAAAAACATGACTCAAGTACCTGTTCAGTATCTGAAGATGTCCAGGAAACTTGATTACGTGATGTGAATCTGTATTACCAAGGATAGTACTTTCATTTTCAGAAGAGAGTTTCTCCTATGGTTCAGCTTTGCTGCATTTTCTTTGTTAATTAGTCATCTCTGTTAGAAATGTGTTGAGCAAAGGTAACCATCAGAATATGTCTTCTATGCTAGGGTACTTCATTAAAAATAAAATAGTAAGTAATCAAGGGTGTGATAAATAAAATGTGGTGGCAACAAGTAATGGTAAGTCAGTCAAGGAAGAGTGTTCATTGAGGGAGAGGTAAGGTGGTAAAGAATGGCATAGCGGTTATACTGGCCTTATAGGGAAATTTTTAGAACTTTCTTATTCTGAATTAATTTGTAGTGTTTGAAGTTGTTTTTAACTTGCCTTAAAATAAGGTACTTCTGTTCTTTAGAATAACTGTACATAAATAAAGAACAAGCAGGTGAGGTAACTGAGAAGGCTATAGCTGGAGTGATGTAATTATAGGCATGCTGAATGTATAAATGTGATCAAATTGTATTGAAATAACACTGATATTTGCAGCATGATTGTTACTTGTTTTGTGAAGTTGTTCTAAGGGTACAGAGGGTAGATGGCAACAAGCTGAGCTCATGATGACAGAACTCTTGACTTAGACTTAAGAGATACCACTTGAATAAACTTTCTTCAGTATGGAGCACTTCATTTGGAGGATCACTTACTTTCCTCTGGTAACCTCCTCTACTCTGTTTTCTTGGTTTAGATACCTCTGCCTCCAGTTTATAAGAAAACTGTTCTTCTAGCCATACAATTATATCCTTAAAATTGCTAACTTCTGGTTACGCTGAAAGATGAACATTATGCCTTCCCTATTTACTATGGGAAAAGCACAAACATGTTGATGTTTTTAGAGATGCTGGGCAGAAGCCTGCATCACAAAATTTTGGCAATGAAAGTACACTATTGTAAAAAATGTGTGCAATTAGAAATTCTCAATGGAAAGTTAATTGTTATGTACTAAGCATTTTCTTAAACACGTTAATTCTGGCCAAAACGCTGAGTTGTTCTTCTCATACCTATTCTCAAATGCAGGGTAATTTTGGGCTTTGGTTACAGTTCAAAGTAACTTAGACTTCAATAGGTTAAAAAGATGAAGGTGGTGTTCTAGTTAGTGCAAATAACATTGATGGTACGTGGAACCATGTCTGCATTTTGGGATTTCAAAAGAAGAATTCTTTGTAGTGGAGTCAATTGCGTAAGTTTTCTTTCTTCTAGGATGAAATATCTTTGTGTCTCTGAAGCTAATTTCAATAATGTGTCTTGGTTTTTGTCTTATCTCAGAGAAAGCTATTTTGTAAAAAAGTTGAACACAATATAATGAATGGACCTAGAACTTCTGTAATTCTTTGTAATTATCTTGTTACTATTTATGAATAACTGAAAGCAGTATTTATTTTTACCTTCAGTTACTTGAATGACTTGGACAGGATAGCACAAACCAGCTACATTCCAACCCAACAGGACGTTCTCAGGACTAGAGTGAAAACTACAGGAATAGTGGAAACTCACTTTACTTTCAAAGATCTTCATTTTAAGTATGTAAATCATGCTGCATGTTCATCTGTCTGTTACTGTAAAGTTTCTGTAAAGTTCTAGAAGATGGACTTTTAATGATGTAATTTAACAAATTTGTATAACCACAACTTTGATTTCTGCCTCCCCAAAACACAAATAGGAGGTAGGCTTAATGAGTTATAGGAAGGGCTTGAAGAAGTATACTCTTACATAACATTGAAAAAGAATTTTTAAGATGAACTAAAGACATAAAAGGCTTGATTATACCAAGGTGACGGTACATAACCATGACTAGCTATGTGATACTGCATACTTCATTTTTTTTTCATTATCTTATCTTTCCTGTTTCACTGTGTGTGTTTAGATTATTTGAGGTTGAGCCTCATTACAGCCTTCTCTATAAAGCGCTTAGCATAGCTTTGATTATTGTTTCAATCTCAAATGCAAATGGCAAGTCATCTTCATCCTGCTTCTATTTCAGAAATTGGGTCTGATTATTTACTACTTTTGTCTTCAAAGAACACCTCATTTTGTAGAAATGTTCTTCTGATAATTTAACAAATTCTTATGGAAATTCATGTTTTAGTACGAAGTTATAAAACATCAGCATTAGAATTGACAAAAGTAATGACTAAAATTTATGGTATTAATTATTAAGGTATACAAGTATGAAATATCTTTCTATGGGTACAGCCATCAGTAATTATTTGAGAATAATTAAGAATAATAAGTAGGAGCAGGTGGCTGACTTGCATTTATATAGGTTGATATCCAGACACTTCCCCTCAAAAATCTATCTGAAGGTAAGGAACACTTCTAAGGAATCCTTTTTTCATTTTTAAATTCTAACAAGGGTAATCTTTATAATGGTTTTAAGATGGCATTATTCCATTGTGGAACATTAAATGGGCAATGAGCATTGTCACTTGCATGATAGTATACCTGAGTAGAAGACCTCATTAGAGGTTATGATGTTTCTGACAGTGTTTTATCAGAAAGCCTAGGGTCATTGTTTTTCTTCTAATTTGTTTCCTTCTCTACTTATTTTTACTGTGCTTTTTTTAAAAATAAAAATCTAGCAACTCAGAACACTTGAAGTTTTCTAAAAATAACAACTGTAATTGAATCCCTTCTAGTGCAATTTACCTGGTCTTGTAGTACACTAACATTAAATCAGTAGTTGTTTTTTTTTTATCTACGTGCCCCCTCGCAATCTTACAGCCCAGGAAAAATACGAAAGGGGGATAATAAAAAAATCGGTCTGTTTTAATTAATGTGTAATATGTGAGACTTTCCAGATATGTATCGTGTTTTTGTAAACACTCACCCTGCCTCAAAAAAATATTTGTCAAATTCAGAGTCTTTCACAAGGCTGGGGACTGGAAGGAACAACTTGTATAAACTTATAAAAGAAGTGAAACAATTGTAATAAATATCTGATGTCCTTTTGCCCATATCACATTTTGTATGGCTACTAGAATCATGTTCTTTGCTTAAATAGTCTGAAAGAAGCAGAACGTGGCAAATCTGGCAACACTAGCTTTCAAAAACATATTGTGGTAGTAAAAGGATCTTGCATAAGTCCTTAAATTTGCGCAACTGCAGATAAACCATTCAGAAAGCCACCCAGTTAGTAGAGCTAAGTCACATAGCTTAGTAGAGTGATGACTGGGGAATTGTCTTTAATGCTTTACATTTAGTGCACTGAAGTAATTTGTCTGAATGTGGCATAGTCACCTTATAATCTCATTGGAGTACTCTGCTTTCTTTAAATATTGGAGAATCATTAAAGCACTTCTCTAATACCTTCATTCTTTAGATAAGGGGGGTAGATTCAGCTGTTACAAACTTCAGTTCTTTCAGCACTCCCTTGTATTTCTTTTTAGTTCGTTGTAAACTCTGGCTTACCTTGCATAACCAAAATGTGGTTCTTTTGAGTAGTGAAACCATGGGTGGTGCTCTGAATTTTAGTACCCGAGGCAAGTGCTTAAAACAGGGGCTTGCACACAACTCTGTGTACAGCCTACCGTATTGGAAGGTGGAATCTCTGAATCTTCTTTCAAAACTTTTTAAAATTAATCCGCAGGTTAAGCAGTTTTTGTGAGCATTTCAGTCTTTTGGGACTGTGACCTAACAGGCCTCAGTATAACTTCTAACAGGGCAGATGGAAAGCTTACGAACTTTAAGACCCCTCTGTTCAGAATGGCTAACTTTTCTGAAAGATATTGCAGCCTTATCTTTTTGTAAGAATTTTGTGTGGCAAATATTTTTTTTCCTGTATTTTTGTCTGCCTGTATTTCTCTGTACTGATACCACTTGGAGAAGAAGCTTCATTACGTAAAGCAGCCCATCAGGTTCTTATTACTTGCTGTTGAGGAGTTCACTGTGAAACTGTGGTGCCAAAACTTCATCCAGCACTAGATTTTAGTATATAAACATTTCAAAGATGAGTGCAAAAAGATGGTTTGCATAAAGAACGGGGAGTTTGTTAGGTGTACTATTAGAAAGACAACCCCAAAAAGAGAGAAGCACCACTGGTGAAATACACCACTAGCAGAGAGGCTACTCTGAACTGAAGCAAACATTTCTGGCTAAAATCACTATCTGTGAATACAAACTGGAGATTAGACTTCTTTTATGTTCTAGAAGTTGTCTCCTGCATTTTTCTCTCCCTTCCCAGGGTACGTGCTAGCAACAGTCTGAACAAGCCAAAATCATACAGTGCCTCTTGTGCAGATCTATTTTATTTATATATTTTTGCTGTTCTTTAAAATAATACTTTTTACTGCAGTTTTATGTTAATACAGGAAGTTGTTCCATGTTTTCTTATACCTCTTAGTTACCATCTCAGTAGTAATATTTTTGGACTGAGCAGTGCCATAAGGTATTATTCAACTAGGTGAGACCCACACAGATTGATATTACAGTACTGCCATCAGTATAAAGCATTTGATTTCTTATGTTCCTTAGAGCTGTGGTGTCCACGAAAAATAAAAGGAGCAATTTTCTTGTTCAGTTTCTCAGTTAATTTTTCTGTCTTGCATTCCATTCTGTCCTGTAAAGAATGAGATTTGTTCAACCCTACATGCCCTACTTTCTACCAAAAGCCCTCAATGTGATAGCCTTATTATTAATCTAATTCTGAATTATTTTTAGGCCATGCTGGAATATCTTTACAAGAATTATAACCACACATTTTAACAATTGTTGTTCTGGTCTGGTATTCTCTTCCTGTTTGTATGACACTTTTACCCAAATAAGGCTTTCAATATAGAGTTGGCCATTCTACCACTTAGAGCAAGGAGGATGGAGATGTAGGAACTAGTCTGTCCTCTGTTCTTTCTCATCTGTCTTCCTCCTGCCATTTGAACATTTTTATACCCGCTGAAGTCTAAGCTCTTTTTGTGACAATGTAGAAAAAAAGTTAAAATTACTTGTGAAAATGCCTGACCACAAAAGTCAGGCCTCTTTTGAAAGGAGTAATTGCTTTTGCTTGTAAGTAGGAGGAAGAATTACATTTTTGCATGATAGAATATGGACTGACATAGCGAGGAAAGTAATAGGTGGTTTCGTTTTGTTTAGCTTTCATCTCACACTTGCTCGTGTTTTGTAAAATGTTGTATAGAAAGGCTTTTAAGGCTTTATTAAAACTGGTTTTTTATACCAAGACATTAAATAATAATAAATGTTGCAGACTTTTATGCCTTTTTTAAAGTTTTGTGACCAGACTCGATACTTTCAGATTTTATTGGTTAACATTCAGAAAGCTTGAAATGCCAAAGTTCATTCCCTACTTTGCACTCCTGTTTTGCAGAATGTTTGATGTTGGAGGCCAAAGATCAGAGCGGAAGAAGTGGATTCATTGTTTTGAGGGTGTTACAGCAATTATTTTTTGTGTGGCATTAAGTGATTATGACTTGGTCTTGGCTGAAGATGAGGAAATGGCAAGTACCTTAATGTTGGATAAGTGAATAGTTGTTGATAGAAACTAAGTAGGTTTGAAAGAAAAGCTATAAATACATCTTTTAGAGTATTACTGCTTTATAAGATCTCAGAGAAAGGTCTCTGAGAAACGATGATAGAATTCCTGCTTTCAGGTTCCAAAGTATTTCCTCATTCTCAGAAGGAATACTATGAGACAAGTATTCTTTTCAGCTACGCTCTTTCATGTTTTAAAAGATGCATAAATTAATGAGGATAGATTGTCAGTAATACACATTTTAGTCTCTTTAAGGATGCTAGAAGTGTATAAGAAGAAATTGCTTGACTTGCCTTTTTCTACTTTACCACATGTTTTGTTTTCCTTCCTCAGTCTTCAATTTTTATTTCTTTCTAAATGTGTTTCTCTGATCTCTTTCCTTCGTTGCAGAAATTTTGCTCTTATGGTCTCAAGTGATGCTTATCTATTGTGTGTGAATCATTAAGAAACTTCTGCACTCTTCCTCATCTTCTACAACTTACAAAATTTTTGGGGGGAGGAAAGAGAAATAAAAAAACCCCTTTCAAGTCAAATGTAGTCAAAGTAGGTTATAGATAGCATCCTGCTACTTAAATGACTGGAGCTTGGGCAGACTACTTACATGTTGGATAATTTTTCTACAGAGTAAAAAATTAGGCTAAGAGGAAAAAAACCTGCACACTTGATTCTCTACTTCATAGAACTATTGGGTTTTATGCTGGAATCTCAGCTAGGTGCAGACTTTAATTTTCAGTTTCCAGAAGATCTAACCAGTATAAGATAAATCTATGTAAGTCAGCAACTCTTGTAGAATATCTGTACTGCAAAATGTCAAAACACACAAAAAAATTCTGAAATACTAAATAGCTTAAGCCTGGAAATAAGAGGGGAAAAAAAAAAGTAGTTGCTTAAACCCTGCTCATGAAAGTGTCCTTTGTCTTGGCGTTTCTGTATTTCTCTGTGGTAAAATGTGATTCTGTATGATAGAAACTTAGTTTTGTAACTTATCTGGTTCATTTGTAACTAATTAAAAATATGTACCCTGATTTTACTACTGAAGTCTGATAAAATACAACAAGGTGTTTTTTCTTCCAAATACAGAATCGGATGCATGAAAGCATGAAATTGTTTGACAGTATCTGCAACAATAAATGGTTCACAGACACTTCTATTATTCTCTTCCTGAACAAGAAAGATCTTTTTGAAGAAAAAATCAAAAGGAGTCCTCTCACTATTTGCTACCCTGAATATGCAGGTATTGGAGGGGGATGCAGGTGTAAAGTAATTTTTGGTTAATTACCTCATTTTTGATGCACAAATCAGGAGGAGTTTAATAATTCTAGGTGTCTAAAATATTTAAATGAAATAAAGTTTAAGATGGGGGAGGGGTTGTTTTTATGGATCACAAATAAAATAGTGCTAAGTGAGATTAATCTTTTTACCTAGGTGGAATAATGCTGGTCCACTGGTAGCATTTACATGTTACTGCTGCAACTCTTTTTGGCCTCATTTACTTAGCCTGTTGTTTTTTCTGATGTCCTCCTATTTTTATACTTAGCTGTAATTTTTTTCACTAACAGGAATCCCTGGGGTACACGGTTTATTTGAACAGGGAGTGCAAATGTATGTTAAAGTAGATGGCTTATTCGGGAAATACGTAGCAAAAGATGATTATTTCATTTAACAAGTCTTAGCCTTTTTAAGTATCATTTTCATTGTAACTTCAGGCTATTCCATTGCACAGAAAATAGCATGTTGGAGGTAAAAAGCTTAGGAGAAATATATATGCCAAATATCTTTAATAGAGTTTGGGAAAACCCCAAACCTTTTAAAAACATAAAAACTGAAATTGAATAACCTCAATGAAGGAAACAAAATATCCTAATGTAGGCAATAGTGATGGGTCATTAATGACTTGCTCCATCTGCCACTGAAGTAAATGGAAAGACTCTTCCTGCAGCTGGAATTGAATTGAGTCCTTAGTTTTTATTCTTAAAGACGTGTCCGGAAGGTTTCCTTTAAGATTTATTTATGGTATCTTAAAACAATGGCTGTGGAATTACTTCTCTTCAGATTTAGGTTAACAGTTTCCAAAGAACCACTTCCTTCAAAGATACAGCATGCATCGTGTTCTTTCTCAGTTTGAAACCTGCTTACTGAGCAATTTTCTCCCTGTAGGATCAAACACTTATGAAGAAGCAGCTGCTTACATTCAATGTCAGTTTGAAGATCTGAACAAGAGAAAAGACACGAAGGAGATCTACACTCACTTCACATGTGCCACAGACACAAAAAATGTGCAGTTTGTTTTTGATGCTGTAACTGATGTCATTATTAAAAATAACCTTAAAGACTGTGGCCTCTTCTGAGAACAGACAAAAGGTTCTTAAATGGTAAATTACATGCCTGAAAACAGGATTTGGGCATTTGGAATATGCCCATGCTGTGTAAAACCTGCATAGATATACCTAATTCTCTTTTATTTTATTTCTAGGTTTGGAGAACGACTTCGCACAATTCTAATCTGATTCTTTTCGAGGTGAAAGAAATACAAAATACATTGTGCTGAATGATAGATCAGTACTGTACTTGCCTGTTTTAACAGCTTTATTTATGTTTGTCTTGTAAATTTAAGTAATTAGTTAACACTGAGATGTCAGTTGACTGTATGTAAACTTATAATTGTAGTAATGTATTTGTATAAACGTTGAATGGAATATTTTAGTAACTTGATGTCCTCTAAAATTTCCATGTTTTATGAAGATACTCTTAGAGGAGACAGACACTTTTTGCCTTTGGATTATTTAAACATCTTGTAAAATTAAATTTTCTTTTCATCTTAAGGGTGCATGCTGCCTTATTCTTTACTTTTGTTGGTAATACTGTATATGGAGTTAGCTTTTTTGATATTTAAACAGCCTTGTACACCTGCTCAGATTTAAAGAAACATAACCAATAAAACTTGTTTTTGCCTTAAGTTTTGAAAAAATCTTTTTATAAATTTAAGATAAATGCAAAGATTATTTTTTAAATTTGAATGAAATACACAGTTTATGAAATCTGGGCTTGCAGTCTTTGCAGTGCAAATGTGGCAACACTGAGAAGTCGAATTTTAAGGTTCAACAATCATTGAAGCGTATGGAAATGCAAAAAGGAAGTTGTTAAAACCATTCATACAAATAAAAAAAACCAGTTTGAAACTGTGGTCTTTATTCAGTGGAATGAATGGCAAAATTACCTTTGGGATTTTTTTTTTTTACAGACCGTTAACAAAGGCTAGGCTTCAGGGTAATATTTCTTCTGCTTACTTAAGAAGTAAAATCATGTTCTCCTTAAACTTTTGGTATTTTCTGCTAATAAAACTAGCTTGATAATTTAATAACCATAGAAATATCAGATACTCCCACAAGATATGACACAGTGGCTTCACAGATTAAAGCAATTTCCTGTTGCACATAAAAAGAATCTTCAGTATTTTGGATAGAGTGTTTCAGTAACTTGCGAATTCTGATTCTTTAATTTCCTCTTTAATTATAATTAAAGTATCATATTTTCTTTAAATGACAAGTTAAAGAATATGATTTTCTTCTGGTTATGCTTTCATTATGTGATTTGCTGTCTTAGGTACGTATCATCCATTGCCTTATGGGTAGTGCCAAAACTGATTTTTTTAATACAGATTTTAAAATGAATAAGCTTCTATTTGTAAATAAGTTAATGGATGGTTGTCTTAAATGTATGTCATCTAGAAAATACGAATGTACCAAACTTGGAATATGGTTTTCTAAAATATTTCAGGCAGCTACAGTACACCATGAGTTCTTTGAGAAGTAAATAAGTCTTTGAACCTGTTGCTATTTTTCTATATTATCTTAGCATTTACGTTCTTAGAAATGTTCAACCAAAATATTTAAGTCATTGTTCTGTTATTTAATTTTTGATTGTGTATGTGTTTCATTTAGGCCTCAGCTTGAGTAAAACTTACCTGCACTTCTCATTCTTTAATGCTTCCTTTGTTGGGTACAGAATTGCTAAATGCGTTTCAAATGAAAGATTAGAAAAGAGATAACTTATTAGTGGAGGTTGTTAAATATACTCGTACTTTATGAGCTCTTTCAGCAGTTACGGTTAGCAATCTGTATATCCTGGGCTGCTTTTAATTGTGCTTTACAGTTCTGGATACATAACTGATTTTAAATCTCATTGAACTACTTTGTGGAAATTGTATTTACACCTACGTTCAAGCTGGTTTTTGTACTTAATGTAAAACAAAAATTGGGATTAATCAAATTGCATAAATAAATCTAAATTTTGTGCCTTGCTTGAAAGAAATGTTTTTCTTTAAATCTGCTGATGGAAATCTTTTTGCATCCATCCTGTGGAGATAACTAGGTAGTAAAAATGAGAAGATATGAAGTCAAGAGTAAATTAAAAAACTTTATGCAAGAAACAATAAAAAGAAAATGAGCACAAATTGATGATTAATTCCTAAATATTTTTCCTTCACCATTGTTCCTTCAGTTGGGGAATTTTTGGAATTTCATAACTGGTGTTTTCTCTGAAGTATTTACATCTTAACACAGAACACAATTGTTAAATACTTTTGCTTGCTCATCCAGGCAGATGAGCTTGTCTTTTCTGGCTCGAGCGGACGGCAGGTATGTTTCCTCTGTGCTGGTTGATCAGTCTTTGTCCTGAAGATGAAAGTTGTCAGCCTAGGCCACTGCTCTAGGAAAAGCTATAGGAGGATTTACGTGCAGTGGGAGCCGCACACTTGGTTTTCAGTGCAGTTGTAATGAGGCTCCACTCCGTCTCTGTTCTGTCAGGAGGCTGCTTCTCTGTCAGAGCACTGCATAAAATGGAGGCAATCCTGGAGGTCCGCTACTGTCGGAGGACAGTCTTGTCCCTCAGCAGCCTGAGCCGCCCTTCTTTTCTAGTTCTCCATTCCTCTCATTTCTTCATGCAAAGTAGCCAGGCAAACTTCTTTTTCTAGCCTTACACAAGGAAGCTCCCTTTACTACCTTAGATATTCCTTCAGATTATTTTCAGTATTCTACATTTAGTATATGCAGGGAATTACGACCTTATGGAGGCTCCACCAGCCCCCGTCGTCTCGTGAGCATACTGTCTGTGGCTGAAGTCTCAGTAGAATGCAGCCACCCTTAAACATGTAATTATTTTTAAGGGACCTAACTGGAAGTATGGTTTGGAAAATTTGGTATTTGGCTTCATGATACCTATTGAAGTTGGAGGTTTGATGTTAAATGTAGTAACTTCTTAGTAACTAAAACTGGATCCAGGTTCCATGGGAGCAGCGTAGCATTTGCTGGATTGCAGTTTCTGTTTCCAGGTACACAATTAGCAGCTTCGTGATTTAAATTCTACATAAAACCTTAGGGAGCAAGAGAGATCAATCTGCAGAATGCTGAACAGCATGATGGCTGGTACGTGTTCAGAACTGGGGAAAATGAAAGGTTGAGTTTATGTTCCAAATCAAGCAAAAAGGAAACCCTACCAAGATACTGGCTACCCTACTGCGTGGATGTCTCTTGAAGGTGTACTTCATGTTATTAACTAAGAGCCTGCAGCCAAAGAGTAATGCCAGGGTTGTAAACTTCAAAACCTTGACTATTTCATTTTGGAAAAAAGTGTAGAAGGTGCATCAAGAGGCTGAGAGCAGCTCATCCTCAAATAATTCATAGCCTGTGAGAGAGTGCGCCACAGGCTGTGAATGAGGAAGATGAGACAGGTGAAAAACTGATTTATTTAGAATCATAGAATCATTTAGGTTGGAAAAGACCTTTAAGATCATCAAGTCCAACCGTTAACCTAACCCTGCCGTCCCACTACTAAACCATGTCCGTAAGCACCTCGTCTGCCCAGCTTTTAAATACCTCCAGGGATGGGACTTGACCACTTCCCTGGGCAGCCCATTCCAGTGCTTGACAACTCTTTCATTGAAGAATTTTTTCCTAATGTCCAACCTAAACCTGCCCTGGTGCAACTTGAGGCCATTTCCCTTCGTCCTATCGCCCATTATCAGGGAGAAGAGGCCGACCCCCACCTGGCTACACCCTCCTGCCAGGCACTTGTAGAGGGCGATCAGGTCTCCCCTCAGCTTTCTCTTCTCCAGGCTGAACACCGCCAGTTCCCTCAGCTACGCCTCTTAAGACTTGTGCTCCAGACCCCTCACCGGCTTTGTTGCTCTCCTCTGGACATGTTCCAGCGACGCAATTGCCAGTCATTAGCTGTATCAGTGCCCGTAGTTTTTGCAAAAATTTAGGTTTTTTGGACTCTGAAGAACTGGAATATTAAGATTTTGGTTGCATAGGTGCAAGAAAACCATTTCCAGCTCTGTCTCTGGAGTTCTTGCAAAGAAGCTAGGAGCAGAATTTCAATCAGTTATGTTTCCAAGTCATGAAAATATGCTGTATTTAAAAATGGCTGAGTTAAAGTGCATTTATCAAGTATTTTATCCATTGCATATTCAGGAGCAGTGCTTTTCAAAGCTGGTCATGGTTCCAGATAAGGCATTTCTGGTTGGTTTGCTCTGCATGTGGTTTCTTTTTTGTGGTAGTGGGAAGGCTTTTTGTTTCCTGACACAGCAGAGATCAGGGTTACTGAGTGGTTTTGTTTTAGGAATAAATTGCTTGGCCTAAAGTATAATTCCAATTACTTTTTAAAGTGCAGTCAATGGGTTGAGATCCATATGGAACAGGGTAATGCCATACCATTTTTGGTCATACTCCCTTCTGGATTTCAGGAAGGGAAGGAGTTGAGCCCACAGCATAGAAATGCAGTTCTGTAGTAGGACTGTGTTCCCCTAGTGCAGTGCCTTGGCTCTGAAAGGAATTCCAGTGCAGCTGTTACAGAAGAACGATGCATGCATGCAAGGGTGTACTGATCAGGATGTGCTATCTGGTTTTAATTGCAATGGAAGAAAAGATCTTTAACGCCAAATGTGTTGTCAGCCGAGGTCACTGTAGCCTCACAGAACCAGCCGTTCTTGGCTAACTTCTTTATTCTCCCTCCTTTTCTGTCTTTCCACTAATAGAGAAGTTTGGGAGAAGGCGTCACTGTGCTTCCCCACTCACAGGTCGTGCTGTTGTGTAGACCTCTAGGGAATGGGTACCTTGAATCCTGTGCAATATGAATCATAGAATCTGATCTTGAATGATGAATCTATGAATGATCTTGAATCTATGATCATAGAATGCTGATCTTTAATTTCTTTTGCAGATAAAGAAGACATTGCAGCCATCTGTATGTAACGTAAGATGATGGTGATGATGATTAAGGCAATGTAAGAATATGCAGACTGATTAGAGAGTAAATAAGTGTGCTTAAAACTGCATGTGTTTATATTGAAAAGCACGAAGAAGAGTCTGGGAAACCGGGAACTTGAGCAGATGAAGCTTCTTGGTTATGTAGCTTCTGGTTCCAGAGTGATACACAATCTGATCAGAAATCCTCACGGTACGGCACAGCACATCTCATACCTCTTACGAATAAGTGTCCTTGTTTCTACAAGATCAGAAGGCGCTTTGAGATTGTGTACAGTACAAATGGCTGAGAGGGAGACACATTTCAAAAAGATACCAAGATGCTTCCAGAAGGGTTTGGCTGTTTGTCAACATAAAGTAGCAGTCATCTGAACTGAAACAAATGAATAATTTATCAGTTTTGCACTCAAAGGTGCAACAATTTACCTCAGGAACCATAACGTCTTACTCTGAAAAAAATACTCTGAGGTGTAGTCACAAATTCTCACTCTTCGTCTGTTTCAATGTAGTGATTCTCTTACAACGTGATAAAATACCCACAAAATCTATTCTAAAAATCCTGTGAACTTAAGTCATCCCGAGAATGTTACATAGTCTTGATGGAAAAGGCGAATACTTGTCCTGTATGCCAGGATTCTTTTGGTAAATTAAAACAACGATGCAGCTATTTCTGTTTGGATTCCATAAATCACAAACTTAAAATACTTTGTCCAACTTTCTTCCATAGCTTTGTTATTAAAACAAAGATATTTTTCCAACAAGAACCGTATTAACTTTCACTTGGTGTAAATTGCCAAAAGTTATATTTCTTTAATAAGAATTATTGGTGGGTTTATTAAAATAAATAAAAGCCAGAAGTGACAACTGCATAATCTAACATATAAAACTGAATACCAACAAGCAGAAGCATATCCAAATTATACCCAGTGACTTTATTGTAGCAAACATATTTGAACATGTGTTCCAGATGTGATTTTGTCCTGTGTATCGTGTCTCAAGACACCTCAGTCAGCAGGGATAGTTCATCACGTCCAGTTTCTGATGATGATCCTTCTGCTATTTTTAATCTTTAACAAAAGCATGGGGTTAGTTCTTCGTACTTCTAGAAATGTTATTGTAGAAGAGTTTAATTTGTTAGATACTGCACATGCAGATTTGAGTACATTTGACCAAATTCTGAAGTTGTTCCTTATAGGTTCTGCCAGTATCTTTCATAGCCAAGTTACGTTGGTTTGGCTTCAGTGTCATTAGTTTGCCTTGTTTTTTCTGCTTATAACTTAATTCTTTATAAAATTCTCAGTCTTTGGCCTTCTGTCTCTATTTTAAGGGGTAGAAGAAAGTTATAAACTGTATCATCTACTGAGACAAAATGAGCATTTTCAAGATGTTTGTAGTCAGTCAGGCATAGGAGACTGATGTTCTGGGAAAGCTTTAAAGAAAA